CGGCCGACTCTATAGATATAAGAATCAGTGCACGTGCAATAAATAAAAACTTTTTATCCTAACGAGCAAAATTAACCTGCGCGACCCCGTGATGTTACCGAGAGAATAACCATAAAGATGGGCAAATAAAACTTTAAATATTTGATTTAAAAATAAATAGGGGTAAAATATAACAATTTATGATAAAAAAAAAATTGGGGTTAAGAGTGACTTTGGAAGTGAATGGGCTTAAAAATAAGAAAAATGCCTTCAGGACCCAAAATATGGGAGCAAGAGAGGGGACAGGTGAGGTGCCCCATTCCTATTGCATAATGAGTTAGTCATGCCAGCTCATTATTGTTGATGTCCGTGAACAAATAGTCGATGGGGGTGTAGGCGTCAAAAAATGCTGAAAGATATCCAAATACAGCTCAAGAGGAAATCATCCAAAAAGACAGACTGTTTCTTCTGGTCGGCGCAGTTTGTTTTTCGCCAAAAGTCGGTTTTGTTGTCAGAATTCATTATATCTTCGGTGCGATTACAATAAATTCAAAAGAAACAGCCCTTTTTATTAAGACTCTTTTAGCAAACAAAAAGAAAATTACAACTCTGTTGGAAAATAAACGCAGGATCGTTGTTCTGGATCACTGCTTTCGTGGATCTTTGCTGTGCGCGGGAAGCGCCTTTGACTCGGTGGACCCTACCAAGTCACAGATTCTGATTGAACGCGTTGCAGCGGCGTTTATGCGATTTCTGACTTCGTTTATCGCAATGAGAAATATGATAACGATATCTTTTAATCGATGTAAGATAGTCCGTTGCTTCTTGAAAATCAAGTCAAAGCTCAATTTCAAGGATTGGCCGTAAGATCAGCACCTCTGGCTCTCTCTCTGCTCTGGCATTGCTCAAATGATCAGGCCTTGGATGCCCTCGCCAGCGGCCCCTGTGAAAGGCTTCGAGGGGTATTTATAACCCTCTGGATGAACAGTGCTCCGAGGACATCATTTGGCTGTGCTCGGCGGGCGAGACAGTGTTTGCTGTCTCGCTGCCGCAGACAGTGTTTGCTGTCTCCGCCAGCGAGACAGTAAATTTGCTGTCTCGCCCAGCGAGACAGTAAATACTGTCTCGGAAACTGCAGTTTCTCATTGTAAGCCCTGCTCCCACGGTTTTAAACTCCGTTATTCTGGCAGTTATCAAGCGTGATTCTCGCCCACGACGCTTCCCCACCGTTCTTGAACAGTTGGTGGCCACGTGTCGGCGGTTATAAAGTGGTTTATAACTTCTTATTTAAAATTGTCTGCATGGGCGAGACAGAGAATGCTGTCTCGCGGGCGAGACAGAGAATGCTGTCTCGCGGCGGCGAGACAGAGAATACTGTCTCGCGCTGGCGAGACAGAGAATGCTGTCTCGCCTGGCGAGACAGTAAAGACTGTCTCGCCTGCGAGACAGAGAATGCTGTCTCGCCATGGCGAGACAGTAAAGACTGTCTCGTATGCGCAGACATCCCAAACTTGTGTTCTTCTGTA